TTTAGCTCTTTCAATATTTTCTTTATTTACAGCGGATTCTTCAAAACAAAAAGAAAAAGCTGTAAAATAAGCTGTTAACAATTAAAGTTTCTTTCGATAAAAAAAAATTCCCAGACCTTTCACCCCATTCATCTCCTCCTCCAGCTAATATTCATTTTAGGACATAGAAAGAGGCCTGAAGGAACAACCTCGAGGAGTGGCTGTAGTGACTTTGCAAAGTCAGCCCAGATTGAAGTTCTACTGATGGAGTTGTCCAAAACCTCAGAGCCTCGTGAACAACTGTGCTTCTCCAAAACACCCTCTAAGCTTAAAAGAGAACTTGCTAGAGTATTTTCGGAGCTTTTTGCACTGGGGAGAACAAGAGCAATAGAGAAGCAGGCTGAATTCCCTCCCAAACTCCTTACTGGTTTTTAATAGCAGAAGCATCTTAGACTTTTTCTCAGGAACCAGAGTTTCTAGCCCTGTTCCAAAATAGGTTTAGAAAACTGTTACTTAGTACCCAAAAGCTTATTTGTCTGCTGTATGCAGATGCAAACTAAGATTTTTGCAAATTCTGGAATCCCAGAATTTCATAGAATGTGAGTGTGCTTAAGGCTGGAAAATTAAGGTACAAAATTGATTAGGAGCAATGCTGATTGCAATTTTTTTTTTTTTGCAGTTTAAGCACCATACTTTGAAACATTATGCTAATTTCTTCACCAGAAAATGAGTCAAGTCACTGTAGTGACTCAGCATTTTTCCTTTCCTGGAAATTTTTAGAAAGATATGACATCTGTCCAGGTTGCTTTGAATTTTTTTTTTTTTAATTTTATATTCCCACACAGGTATTCTCTTCTGCTTGGAAGGCCCTCACCCTCCTTCCCACCTGGCAAATTTCTCTTCACCCTCCTCTCCACCCCCACACATACCTCCCTGGTGGCACTTTCACCACACAGAAGGTGGAATAAAAACTTTCTCCTCTGTGTGCTTAAGAATTACCTTAAATGTATGTTTATTAGAAGCACTCCTTTTAAAGTGCAACTATTTAGCTAGCCTTGTATTCTCATGACTTGTCACTACATCTGGCATATAACATCACAATAGATTTTAGGTGGATGAATAAATAAAGGATGAACCTGTGAATCTAAAAGAGCACCAATACCTACAGGTAAGTTATAAGAGCTCAACTTAATGGTGGTCTTTCAGACACAGACTTGTTTATTCCTACAAACTTTATCAAGTTCATCATCATTCTCTGAGCATCTTAGGGTCTCTACACCTGGTTGTCAATATAATAAGGAAACTTCTTTCATTTCTAATCACATTATTATGAATCTAGTATTACAAATGAAGTAGCACTGGTAAATTGTCTATTCACAAACTAGGGACCATTATTATGGTTCCTCTAACTTCCTGTGACTTCTATAGAGTGACATGATCCAGTGGGGACTGTCACAACTTCAAATGTTCACCCTAGAATATTTCTATTCTAGTCAAAAGCCTCCTCAACAAAGCAGAGAAAGATTTAAAGAAAACAACACAACCCATTCTATTTAATTTTGAAGGCTCAATTAAGCAAACATTTAAGAAATTTCCAGAGGTTAAGGAAAAAAGTAGTTTAGACAAATTGTATATTACCTTTCTCCACCCCCCCCAAAAGAAGTCAATTTGTCTAATAAATCTTTCTGAACGATCAGTGGCCCTCAGAAAACAGGATTGACTCCTATGAATACTCTACTTCCCTTAAAAATGTTTCCTTATGACTGTATTAATTTCATATTCGATGGGCATGACACAATACAAATGTGAAAATAGAAGGCTAACAAAACTTGTAACTATATAAATATCAGAAAGTAAAATACAGAAATCCAACACATAACACAGGGTTTTAGTTGGTCATTTCAAAAGATCACCTATATTAGGAAACTACAGCAAATTACTTTCCATAGAACTCAATTTCATAAATTATGTCAAGAATATACATTTTTTAAATGAACTACTAATCCTAAAAAGATAAATTCTGTAATTTCCACCCTACTCCACTCCAGGGTGAAAGGCAATTCAAGGGAAAAAAGTAAACACTAAAATAACCATTTCATAGACCCTTCATAGCTCAGCCTCCCTGATCCCGATTTCAGTTCACTACCTCTCCACCTGATCTCTACTCTCCTAGAAAGCAGGTGTACTCTGAGCCATCTCAGATTCAATTACTTTGTTAAGGTTTTTGTCTTTCCCGTTTTTCATCTCAACTTCTGCTTTTCATCTTAACTTCGCATTTTCTGTTCAACTTCCCTACAAAGGCACGTTTCAATTACTATATAGATGCACAATATGTGTGAGAGCACATTGTCTAAGCTGGCCAGGATACTGACAGAAAAAATGAACAAGACAGTTCTTTCTCAGATTTTAGTCCCACAGGATTATAGCTCTTGGCTCTTGAGCTATTATCCTATAGAACACTCACTTGGCATCCATCTGATGCTACCTGCCTTCGCCCTCCCTTTGCCAACAAGATGTATGTCCTTCAAGGTGCAATCTAAGACCTCCTGTTCCAAGAGTACTCAGTAGGTGCCTTGTGAGTGATGACAAAGAGAGCATCTCTGGTTAGCAGGTAGGCCCCAGAACAGTCTCTTACTCTCAAGTCCAATGCTCAAGATCATTTATCAGTTCACACTATGAGCTACTATAGTGTCAGAGAAACAGGTTCGATCTCCTGTGTAATGCTTCTCATTCAGAAGTAACTGCTTGAAGTGCTGGGTTAAGAAAGACCGGTGACTGGTGTTGACTGAGAGGTGAGGGGCAAGGTGGCCCACGCCTATTTCTGCCACCCCAGTTCTAAACACTTAAACAAAATCTGAATTTCATCATCTTCAAGAAAGTTAAGTTTCTTAAGTGTAACATTGGGCCAGGGATAGAGGATTCAGTCTTTCTAATATGTATTTCCAAGTGCAAATCTTTTATATAAAAATCCAGTGAAGACACTTCCTGGTGAATCAAACTTAAAAGGAAACATCGAGAGAGCGTTCCCTCCTCTTTCTGCCAACACAGGATAACACTATTCCTTCAGAGCTTTCAGCAAGAACTCTGAAAGTACCACTAGTTTTTCCACAAAAGCAAAACCATCAAAACTCTACGTTACAGAAGCATCAGGATCACTTAAGGATTTCACTGAGCAGTTACTGTCTTTTATTCCAGTGGATACTGTGTTCTTGTTTGAAGACTAACTTTTCTTATCCTGTGGTCTGTCCCATGTATCTGTGTATCAGAGAAACCCCAAAGACACAGGTGCATTTATGTTTAGTTTCAGACTTTTGCTGAGAAATCATTTCTGAAAACCTTGCACAAAGTCATTTCACATGATACCATTACAAATTCAAACCCCACCACCACCTACAGAACAATGAAGTATCCTAGGGATGAACAAACAAGTTCAAAATAACAAATCCAAGTTGTTCTTTTGATTTGTTTCTAGTAGTGTTCTCCTCAGCCTGAAAAGGTCCTTTCTTTTCTTTTCTTTTTTTTTTTTCCCCTAATGGAAAATATCAAATACTTCACAATCATTACCTAAAGTATACTTACAGAGCGAAACATGTGAAATTCTGGTAATTTCCACTTCTAGCTCTATAATCACATTTATGGTCTTTCCAAGGCAATTTTCCTCATCAATTTTCATTTCCCCAATCAAATTATATTGCTTGAAAAGCAAATTTTTACTTAATACATGTGTTCACTCTGCATTACAGTAACATACATCCTTGTTATCTCCACCAACCCTTCCAGAGGATCTATGTCACTTATAAATTGCTTGAGAGTTTCCCATCCTAATTTCTATGATTGAGAACAAACACTCAGGCAAGATTCATTTAAAAGTTCATTAACATTCTTCAATGATTATAATAGAATAAAAGCCTTTCCATGACAAAAAGTCCATTGGAATAAGAAAATAAAAATAGGTTGTTTTTCTCCAGAGCTCAAGAAATAATTTCAGTCAAGGATCAATTTCCTTTTAAAAGTTAACTTAAAGTCTTCTAAAAGCTTCCCAGATTCCAAATATTGAAATCACTGAAATAGCTCATGCAAGTAAAAAGACATGACTATCCATACATGGATTTATATTGCATCAGGAGTGATGGACAGGCCTCAATGGGCCTGAACAACAGCAGTCCCGCAGATCTGGGGGCTCTGAAAGAGTAGAGTTTAATCTATCCCCCTAGTCTTTTCTTCTCTGTCTACTGGCTATGAGAGCCCTGGAACCAAAGATGAAACTGAAATCAGAGGAGCAATAGAAATCAGAGGAGCAGAAGCAACTCCCCCAGATTGAAGCAAGAATACTTTATATATCCACTATGCCCCCAGGTAAAATGGTATTTCCACAAAAAAAAAAAAAAATTAAGTCATACAGGAATGCAATGTTTTTAGTGTAAGAGAATACCATCATCAAGGGCAGTTGTGGCTGAAAGTGTTTCTAGTTTGGTTTGGAATATGAATTGAATAAAAATGGAGGAGTGAAGGGTTCAAAACTAGAACCCACATTAAAAAGCAAGAGACCAGAATAATCTTTCTTTCCTATGAGAGCATATGGGTTGCAGACAGAGCCAGACTGAAAATGACTGACCTTGAGTTTTAAATCTTTCTAAGAAACCATAGTTAAAGTTATATATATCTACTAATCAGAGAATGGAAATATGCCATCTCTCAAATTGTTAACCTCTTCACTTTTGCAAAAAGTTTTTTATGTAAAAATGAAACAAAGCAGCTACCCTTTTTTTATTTAGCTCAAAAAGTAGTTAGGTGCATGGACAGGAACAGATGTCATGGGTACACAATTGTGTTTTCTCACAGGCTGTACAGGTATCATGGCCATGAATACATCCTTTACCTTGAAGTGTGAAAGAGCACAGAAGTAATATATGATTTACAAAGGAGGGGTTTAAAAATAAGTTGGTAAGATAGAATTCTCAATAGTAGTTACCCATCTGCTAATGGTGGACCTAATTCAAAGCACCACACAACACTGTGCATTTACATCACCCTTTTATTTCATTGTTAGAAATAATACAGTTCCACAGGGTAAATCATCAATAAATAACGGTGTTTAATCATTAAACGTAAAAATCCCAACTCTTTGGCATCTGACAGGATTCTATTACTTGTCAAACTAGTGACTGTGTAGATATAGTTAATCTTAGTGATCATTCATCAATACAATATGTTACAAAGGTGCAATTTACTTTTAAAATATACAATAGCCCATCACCAAATCTGATCAACTCAGTAAATTATGAGCCAACTTCCCCCAGCCTCTTTCACAAAGTTTGCCTCAGTGAAAGTATAGTAAATGTTACGAGTTCCTAGGGTTCTCTAACACTTGCTCTGTTCTAAATAGTTTGCCATTCATTCTGGCTAAATAAAAGTCACAACTGTAACAGAAGTGACCTGCTCAATAATTAAAAGTTGCTCTTATTTTTAAAGCAATTTGTTAACACCTAAGAAACTCGTAGCCCCCAAAATAAAATTTAAGCAGTTCTATGCTACCAGAAATGCCAATTCAATTATAAATTGCACCTTCAAGAGTCAAAACAGAAAGAAACCTTTACAAAATGGTTTAAGTTACATTTCTTTTTTCAAAATATATTCAAGAATAGTTGAGCTAGATTTGTTACTAAAGCCAGGGCATTATTTCTTTAGCAACAAATTAAACCAGTGCAATTGACATAAATTGTTAAGTAATCCAGGATTAACCCATTAAAACTGTAGAAGCAAGTTAGGCTCCTTCCCTAGTCCTAGAGACTGGAATTTCAGTAAGTGCATGTACTGCGCAGAACTAAAACTGGAATGACCCGGATGCCATGCTGAATGGTGTCACTTCCTACTCAGTTTGAGCATTCAATAGTAGAAATCACAAGTTCCTCTTTAAAGTTCCATTCACATACAGAACATTCAGATGCAAACAATTTTATGCTTATAGTCCATAATTAAAAGAATCCTTTTCATTCTAAACTTCCAGAGGAATTTTAAATTAGAAAATAAGCACTAAGGAAATTTTTTCAACTTATTAAACTTCATTTTGGAAACTTTCTGGAAGAGTTCCCCCCACAATGTAAAATAAATACTTTGTATCCCAAATTTCATTTTATTAAGACACACTTTAATAACGCTATAAAGAAATATTTTACACCCATAGAGATCAATAACTTCCATGCGGAAATAAAAAAATCATTGCTCAATAATACTATTGAGGCAAGTGAAGAAAGATTACTCTCTTGTCAATCTGAAATGTTAATTTTTTTCAGTGCAAAACCAGTTATAAAATATTTAAACTCAATATTTAAAAATAAAAAGTGGTCCAATTCAGCAATGTTCAAGTTCTAAAGTCCATAAAACAAATCATTACATACATTTCATAGTAAAATACAGAGATTAAAGAAGTACTTGAGTACTTAAGATATAAATTTCTAATGTATCATACCAAGTCAGCAACAACCAAGCAGGTAACATTCCCAATTTGAGTGTCAGAATCAAAAGGTGACATTACTGTACCAAAGCCGTGTTTCCTAGCTAAAAAGCTATACAAACTAGTGGTCAACATTCTCTTTTCTTTGCAGATGCGTGCTCTAGAATGATTTTCCCCCAAGTACCTGTGATTCATTCCTGTATTCAAAATTTGATCCCAACGATTTTTATGTTCCAGGAACATTTAGCTGATATAACCATCTACAGTGTGAAGAGTCCTGTACAGAGTACAACAGTGGATTTTTCTACCCAAGGGCAGGCTGACCTAAACTGGCTAACACACTCTGTGCGTCACTCATGTGTTATTCCTAGCAAACACACGGTCCCCTCTGAGGGTTAGGTGTTGAAGCTGGTACTGTAGCACTTCTGTGTCAGCTGGCTCCTTGATGTTCATTTTATCTAGATTGAGGTAGTCCAGAGATTTGGAGTGAGCCCTTTTACCTTTAAGAAGACAAAGAGGCAGAGGCCCATGGAGAGCCTTGTAAGGTTCATAAGGTAAAGATTTAGTGCACTTGTCTCCTGAGCTGGGCATGCGCCTTCGTCTCCTGCCATTGACCGCTGGGATCTCATATGGCTGGTAGTACCTACTTCTTGTTTTATACAAGCGAGAAGAACGGGCGAGTCCTGCATCCAGCTGTTTGGAGCGCAAGGAAGGGGTGGCTTCCCCCTTACTCTCCTCACCTCCCGTGCACTTCTGGGCTAACTTCAGGAGTTCCTCACCAGTGGTGAAGCCAACCAAATAGTTAGAGTCCATGTGGAGGATCTGGTAGCCCGACACAGTCCGGCGCATGGGTGAACACGGTGTACTGGAGCAGCGGGGCTTCTCCGCCTCTGCCTTCCCCGGGGAGCTCGCCTCGACCACGGGCAAGGGCAGGGTGGTCAGAGGACTTCTGGACTCGCCATTAACATCTACTTCCATTTTAGGCACCAGTCTGCACACTCCTAAAAGCGAACAGATGCAGATTAGAAAAATATACAGCATGGGACCTTGGGCCACCTGGATGAATTTTAGAAAGCTCAGGGACAGTGAATGTTATTACATTGGGCTGAAAATCTGCCAAGGTGACAGATTTTTATCTTTGTCTATTAAACCTTCCAGAATAAGCATGACATGACTACTGCTTCTCTATCTTCAAGGACTCAGAGGCAGGTTCAATTAAAGTCTGAACTACTACTAAAAGTTTCAGGTGAAGAAGAGGGCTTAAAACAACGATAACACTTTTTAAATGCAGCATTCCATCAGTGAGGTAACGTTCACCCTGTGATGCATGATCAAGCAAGTCAAATACATGAAGCAAATCAAGACAATCCTATACAGTTTCATAGTAACCCACCAATAATTACATCCTGAAAATTAAAATCTTTACTTTTTTCTATCATTTCAAATATGTGGCCAGCTCTTCACAACCATTTCTTTTTAATTATGTTTAAGAAGAATATAATGAAAGAGAAAAACTGATCATTTTCTGCAAAGATTCTAATTTGTACCTAAAAAGGAAGGAGGTTTCCTCCTTTCGTATCTGTCGATGAATTATTCAGAGAAAAACAAGTTGCAGTTTAGAAGCTGGTCCTAAATCCATCAATTCAGGTCATTTCTAATGTTAAACACACATAAATTACCAAAATCATTTTGACCAATCAGAAGATATGCTATTTATTTGACAGTTATTTTATTTTGTAATACTTAGCATATAGTTTTGACTAGATTAGTGACTGAACAATTTATGCACATGCTAATAATATTATGATTATTATACTACATAGTTGGGGAAATTCCAGTGACAAAACATTGCATATAGTGACCAGCTACTAAAAAGTTGCAGAAGAATCAAATTTTGGAAAGTAAAATACTAACAAAGCTAAATGACAATATTTACTATAGGAAACTTTATCCCTAATTTATCATCAGTTATAAATAGTTAAGTATCTCAAATTGTTAACCAAAAATGATGCCAAATACTATCTAATTTCACAATGAAAGAACTGTGAAAAACATTTATTATTAAATCTTTTATGAACTCTTTTGTAGAACACACCATCTTTTCCTAATTGAAGTATTTCAGAACTTTATTCTTTTATTGCTTGCTATCTTTTCCTTCACTAGAAAATAAACCAAGACAGTGAAGAAATTACCAGATGCCACCCTGTCCACAATTGTGTCCACAGCAACAGAACTAAAAACTTTCATTAATAATGATTCCTGAGATAAAGCAAACATCAAAGGAGGCAATACTGCTTTATTCACTTTTTATGATAAATCCTAGCCTATTTCCTATTTTAATTTAACCAAAAGACCTCAACCCTTTAAGATTTAAAATAAGTGGCTTTTTCCTTTATTTTCATGTAAAATAAATGTACTCTTGACTGTGTAATGTATTTATTGATTAGAAAGGAATAGTAGGTGACTGACTACTATTTCTTCTGATCTGCACACAAAAACCTAAGGTTCTCATCAAAAGAACTATAGCAGGCCACTTGATGAAGTGCATCAAATTTGATGCTGAGCCAACAATGTTCACTTTAAGCTGAATGAGAAACTAATTCTTCCTTTCTCACTTGTTCTGTCATCCAGGAAGAGCAGAGAGGACAACTCCTAGGCCCTCAACCCACCTAACTTGACGGCCACTTACAGGCCGAGCTGATTCTCTGATACTTCATTCTGTACTTCATTATGAAAGATGGCAAGAGGAGGGTGAGGGAGGCAAAAGAGCCTGGGCTGGAAAGGAAATGGAGCCCAGGGAGTGACCTCAACTAGGCCCCATTAAGTGACAGTGGTCCAGATGTTTTCCAAATCTGACAGTCCCTGGATTTCCATAGGTCCCCTTTCGGTGCTCTGTAAAATATATAAGCTTTCTAAAATTCAAAATGGGTAATAATTCAAACAATTAGGTGTATGGGGCATAAATGCAGCTAAGCAAGCTCTCAGTGCACAAAATCATTATAAATAAATGCAGGCACTGAGCTCTAGTAAACAGGGTCACCAAAGGTTCACTTTCATGTTAAGTCAATTTTGCCACATCAAGGCAGAATGCTAGGAATTTCAAGAACAAAGGAAGGCATGATACAAGGGTATGACAGAAATGGGCAAAAATGATATATTAGCTCAGAAAATGAGTACCTCGAAAACTAGAGAGTAAAGACAATGACTGAGGTATTGAATAAAGGTCAAATTTGATGAGATGTGAAATAGACACTATTTTTAATATCACTGACTAAATTTCCTGCTGTCAGAAAGACCATAAAAAACATCAACAGCCATGGCAAGACTCTCCAACATGATATTCAGGCAGCTACCTGAGAAGCAGTGATTTAACCTTAGATTGTTAGCATATTGTTAACCAAGAGATGTGGTTTTAAAGTTCCGGAAGTTTCAGTCAGGTAGTCAGTTGTAAGAAACCTACAAGATATGCTAATTAAGGTAAACTACACACTATCTATAGAAGACACTAATTAGCCAAAAAGCTAAAGAAGTAAGTAGTCCTAATATCCTGTAACACTAGTATTTAACCTAATATCTAAGGTCAACACAAAACAGGTAAAAGTTCCATGTAAAATTTCTGAATGGGCATCTCCTTGTACTTGATTCATTTTAAATGCTCATATAAAGCTGCCACCTGCTGAACGTTCAATGAGCAATTCTAAGGCTGGAAAATGGCATTTTTTACATCTAAGACATCAATACTTTTGCTCCAAACAAGGGTGCATTCTTAAAAGGAAAGTTCCTTTAGGTAATTTCACTGGTATTTGCAGTGTCTTATTCAAGCATGGAGGATGCAACCAAGATAAAATGCTTAGATTGTTTGCATCCTTTCTCTTATATACTGCCCTTCTAAGAACCTACTATGTGGCACTATGGAAAAGGTGGAAACTGAGTTTCAGAAAGACAGCACTGATTGGTAGAAACTTCATTTTTAACTAGATGGAATGCTGACCAAACAGCATAATTTCCATTCTTTAACATGATCAAAACCAAAAATTTTTAAGCTCTCAAACTGCTGGTAATTTCCTGGCTGGATTTAAACCATGGAGCAAGAGCCTGAAACCAGTTACAGAATCAGCTTGCTCAGCTTATCTTTGAAAGGGTTGGTAGGTAGCATCTCACCTAGAAAAGGGTGACCCTAAAAACAATAAAGATTGAACAGTCTCACGGATAGTGTATCTTGATACATGGATGTCCAATACTTTGTACTACTGAATTTACTAAACAACATTCATTAGGCAACTCAGTTGCTGTAACTACAACTAGGAATGGTCTGTGTTAGGCAGCATATTCTTCATTTTGCCATGAAGACTGCTTATGGATTTGTTATCTTTAAACATTCTCTTCATGATTCAGCATAATGTCTCGTATTCTAAAATAAACCTTGTATCAGAAAAAGCATGCTGCCAAGATAAATGATGACAAAGCAGTCTGGTAAATATGGTATTGCAGGTACATGAAACAGCCAACCTTGCTTCAGCATCAATGAGGAGAAATGTGAATGAGGAATCAGGCCCAATGTGAACTACCACACCACAGGATACTGAAAAGGAGAGACCAGCAATACCCTGTTGCTTCCATTAATGCCTTTTATATACAGTTTAAATCAAAATAAATACTGGAAACAGAAAATAGAAACAGTGTTTTTGTAACAGAAGCACCAAAATATTTGGTGATGAAAGAGTCTAACCAAACATGTACCCTCTGGAGAAAAGTGATCTTGGAGTTGAACAATCTTTTAAAACTGAGTTCCTTACTTAAATAAGGATCAGGAACAAATATCAATACATGTTTTAAATGATAGCTAAAGATCATCACTATAAAATTCCTTCAGCAGCCCATCAATAACAATGACTTCAATGTGCATTTACAAAATATATGGAACACCAAGCAATTTTCACAGATGCCATAGATGTATTTCTTTAAGGTAGATGAAGATTCAAAACTAGACAATATGGGAAGAGGTAACATTTTTTAAAATTTATTAAAAAAAATGCATAGAAAGAGGCACAAAAATGATGTAAAAATAAACTACTACATTAAAAAAAAAATGCACAGAGAGAACAGAAACCATAAAATACCTGGAAGCCAAACACTACACGACATACACTTCAGCAACATCTTTAAAGATAGAGCACCCAGGCCCTCCCTGGTGGCGCAGCGGGTTAAAGCACAGCACTAAGAAGCTTAAGCCACTTCCGCATGAGTTCGATCCCCGCCTGTCCCGGAGGTGACCACATGGCGCGGCAGACCTCTCCTGACCCACCCGCTGCTCCCCTCAGCAGTGTACTTCATTGATCTGCCTGTTCTGCTCCCCGCTCTGTCTCTGGTGAAGACTCTCACCGCCCCTGAGCCTCTGGCCTGTACCCCAGTTCTGTATGAATAAATAAATCTTTAAAAAAAAAAAAAAAAGATAGAGCACCCAATGCCATGATAATGAGGCAAGGATAAATAGGTGGGACTACATCAAGTTAAAGAGCTTCTGTATAGCAAAAGAGACATTACAAAAAACAAACAGAAAGCCCACTAATTGGGAAAACATTTTCTCACACAAAAGTAGTGATAAAGGATTAATCACAAAAGTATATGGAGAACTGATGAAACTCAACAAAAATACAGTAAACAACCCCATCAAAAGATGGGCAGAAGGGCTAAAGAGACACGTCTCCAAAGAGGAAATGCAGATGGCCAACAAGCATATGAAAAAATGTTCAACATCACTCATAATAAGGAAGATGCAAATTAAAATCACAATGAGATACCACCTCACCCCAGTGAGATTGGCACATCTTCAAACAATTAGCAACAACAAATGTTGGTGAGGATGTGGAAAAAAAGGAACTCTCCTGCACTGCTGGTGGGAATGCAAACTAGTACAACCACTATGGAAAACTGTTTGGAGGTTCCTCAAACTGCTTAACATGGAGCTTCCCTACACCCAGCAATCCCACTCCTAGGTATC